TATTCAAATTCATTAACACTTGAGGAAAGTTGTTTTCAACTGGGGGAGGGCATATTTGTTTCCACTGAATCTAATCTGTGTATTTGGGTTGGTCGGCTTAATTTAAGGAGATAAGAAAAATGTTGTAGAACATCTAAGTTATAATATCTTGAAGAAGAGCATCTGTGAACAAGTAGGCCCACAGTAGAGATTTTAGAATTATTCTAATCAGTATATGAAGAAGGAGAATGACTGGTATATATTTCATATCTTTTTGAACATGTACAGGTCTCATTAATGCCTGTGCTTTGCTTTTTGGCTGGTCCAATAACTAAGAAAGTGTGCACGTGGACCACAGCCATCTGTGTATAACAGATGACGAGTATGTTTGTAATTGTTAGTAAAATGGTACTAGTGCATTACTTTCTTACCTTATTTTTCCCAGGAGCCAAACAGCTGTGTAAATAAAAGATTTACTGCTGTGCTCTGAAAAGCTTCAGGTCTGACTGTTGATACAGTATTAAGATCCAAAGGTGCTGGATTCATTTCCAAACATTGTGCACTTACTTCAAGAGTTTGACATTGGAACAGACCATAATATAATGACTTTCAAAATAGAGCCACTAAAGAAGAAGAAGAATGAAGGATTTCAAATATTGTTTACTAGTGACTTAGTTGAACACTTGTTCCTAATAATAATTGAGAGCTTATTCAGTAATCCTATTGAAGTTGATTCCTGCTAACTTTTTAAAATATCATCCTACATTAAAATGGATATTGATTTTTTTTTTAAAAGAAATACCTTGTTATGAGACATGTTAGAGAGTATGTGTATGTGGCAGCTCTGACTATTCCCAGGCCCCATTTTCAGATTTGGGGATACAGTGAGGAGAAAAAGTGTCTGCCTTTCTGGAGCTTGCCTTCTGGTGGTAAAGACAGAAGGAGGTACACACAGCGCAAAGGGGCTAGAGAATCTGAGGGTTCTCGTGAAGCAAATATCTCAGAAGTTACCATCTCAGAATCATCTAGGCTTTAGAGATCTTCTCCACTCCCTCATTTACAAGTAAGGAAACTGAGGCAGCCAGTTCTGCACACTGGCATTCCTCCAGGTTATGTTAATTGGCTTCCTCCAATACACAGTTAACTAGCAGGGTAAGCCAAAGTTTGCAATTACTTATTTAAATTCAGTGAGTATGTATTGAGACAGTCAGGTACATAATGCTGTGCTCTAATTGTTGGTAATCAACCATAGCTCATATGTAGCTAATTGTATTTCTAGGACACTAAGAACAGAAATTTATGATTCTTGGAAGCAGACTTGTATACAAAAACACATCTCAAGAAAAGAGTAAAACTGACAACAAAGATTAAAAACCAATTGAATTAAAATAGCAAAAATTGGTTAAATGACCCTGAAACTTCTGAAAAGGTAGTAAGATTCAGAAAGTAAAAGATTAATTTAATGAGATTTGGTGGGGGGGTGAGGGGATTGGGTTTTTCTTTTTTTTAGTTATGGTTAAATACACCTAACATAAATTTACTATCTATACTATTTTTAAGTGTACAGTTCAGCCATGTTAAGTAGATTCACATTGCTTTGTAGCCAATCTACAGAACTCTTTCCATATTTCAGAATGGATTTTCTTTTTTAGTCCTTCAAAATGCCCAGAGGAAGCATGTTTTCATAATGGTTACAGAAATGAAATCATCATGACCGTGATGGTCTGTCAGTTTTTGTTTTCTTGGGTAAGAGGGGAGGCTGGGAAGAGGCCTAGGGTATTCATACTTTCTCTTAAGATTTTACTTAATACATCAAGAGTTTAATAGACCATTACACCAGGCTTTATCATTAGGCTTTGAATGGTTTTATAATTTTTTCTACCTAAAAAAACAAACAAAATAATAACATGCTTGTTGAATACTTAACTGAAGTTGTGTAGCTTTGGGAATTTGTATTAAGTTATTTTGGAAATATTTCATGTCTTTTTAAATTTATCGTAATGTTATACAGAGGAATCGAGTGAGAAGGCATCTTATCAGGTGATCTGGGTTGAACACATAGTATGAGGGGTCTGGGAAATTCTTCCTTCCTTGGTGGAAGGAAGGAAGTAGAGCACCCTACTCTTTTTTTTTTTTTTTTCTACTCATGTCCTTGTAATATCTTCCCGAGTGTGTGTTGTGACTAATTTCCTTTGTTGAAAAGAAAATCATAACCAAATGAAGAATCAAAGCCTCTGTGTGTTCAAGTACTTAAACAATGTGCAACAGATATTTTGAAAGATTGATGTTTATTTTTTTCAGTAAATTAAGTTTTTATTAAGGATCCTGTTGGAGAAGCAAACAAGTATAAGTATAAGATAAAATA